GTATGTTTTTCTGTTTTAGAAAGGGTAGTGATTTTTGTGGCTGTACTTTAAGATTGTTAGCTTGTGAAATGTTTACAAAATGGATCAGAGCTGGGGGAGATTAGAAACCGAGTAACAGACAACAAATAAATGTTGGTAAGGATATGGAGAAAAAGGAACACTTGTACATGGTTGGTGGGAACGTAAATTGGTGCAGCCATATAGAAGAAGTACAGAGGTTTCTTGAGAAATTAAAAAATAGAATATATACTGTATATTTATAATAACATGAAATACTGTGTATTTTAGTACTAAAATATTAGAACTATGTATATATATGGAACTACTATATGTATAGTACATATAGAAATGCTGTGTGAGCCAACAATCTCATTTTTAGGCATAGAATGAAAGGATATAAAATCACTACCTCAAAAAGATGTCTGTACTTCTATGTTCATTGTAGCATTATTCATAATAGCCAAGATATGAGAAAAACCTAAGTGTATATCCATAGATGAATGGATAAGCCAATATTATACATAAATGTATTATGTAATTGTATGTTTTATGTACAAGACATATACTATATGTTCATATACATTACATATATATGGTATATAATAGGATATTATTAAGACTTACCCCTCAAAAAAAAAAAAAAGAAAATCTCACTATTTGTGACAATATGGGTAAAACCAGAGGATAATATGCCAGTGAAATAAGCCAGACAGAGAAAGACAAATACTTCATGGTATTATTTATATGTGGAAATAAAAAAAGTCAGCTCATAGGAACAGAGTAGAATGGTGATTGCCAGAGGCTGAGGGATATGGGAAAAAGGGAGAGGTTTGTAAAACACAAATTTTCAATTATAAGATGAATAAGTTCTCTTCCCATAAGCATCTTGAGGTGACCTCTGAAAATGGTTCACTATTCACTTGACCAAGAGAACCCCACAAATCATGAAAAGCAAAGAGGTTCAAATCTTTGTGTTGACCTTAAGAACAGTTGTAAAACAGTTGCCCAGGCCTTTAAGGCTATACATATTTGTAAAACCACCAACTGTCTGAAGGATGTCACTTTACAGGAGCAACATGTGCCATTCTACGATTACAATGGTGAAGTTGGTAGGTGTGCCCAGGCCAAACAGCGGGGCTGGGCACAGGGTCGGTGGTCCCAACAGAGTGCTGAAATTTTGCTGGACACTTTAAAATGCAGAAGGTAATGCTGAGCTTAAATATTTGGATGTAGATTCTCTGGTCACTGAGCACATCCAGAGAACAAAGTTCCCAAGGGGCAGTGCAGAACCCAAATGTGAGCTCTCCCTTCCACGTTGTGATGATCCTTACTGAAAAAGATCAGATTGTTCCTAAACCAGAAGAGGAGGATGCATAGAAGAAAAACATATCCCAGAAGAAAGAAAAACTTATGGCCCAGGTGTAAATTCAGCATAAAATAAATATTAATAAAAGTAAAAGCTGAAAAGAAAGATGAGTGAGTTCTAAGCATTTAATGTGAAGCATGGTGACTATAGTTAATTATACTGTGTTGTACATTTGAAATTTGCTGAGTAGATATCAAATGTTCTCACAAAAAAAAAAGTATGTGAGTTGACGAATGTGTTAATTCAATTATGGTAATCATTTCTCCATGTATATGTATACTAAATCATTATATTGTGCACTTTATTTTTTTAAAGATTTTATTTATTTATTTTTAGAGAGAGGGGAAGAGAGGGAGAAAGAGAAGGAGAGAAACATCAGTACGTGGTTGCCTCTCACACACCCCCAACTGCGGACCTGGCTTGCAACCCAGGCATGTGCCCTAACTAGGAATCAAACTGGTGACCCTTTCCTTCATAGTCCAGCACTCAATCCACTGAGCCACACAAGCCAGGGCTATATTATACACTTTAAATGTATTATGATTTTATTTGTCAATTATACCTTAACAAAGCTGGAAAAAATAAAAGAAACCAAGTAATATTTAGGATGCAATTTCAAAAATCCCCGAGTGATGAAATGAGATTCTTAGCTAGAATGATGGTAGCAAGACTTTTTCATCATTCAGAATAAACTAGGTTATAATTTTGTGATAAAACAGCCACAAAATTACAGTCACTTTAGTTAACAGTGTTTATTTCTTGCTCATGGGAAGTCTACTGTATGACTTTGCAAGCAGCTGCGCTCTGTGTGTTTGCTCAGAATTCCATGCTTTTCTGATTTTACATTACTTCAAAGTTAATAAAGCCTTCCACAATTAACATTGCAAGGGAAGGGAGAACATAGGGAATTGTGCACCAGCTTTTAAATGTTTTCACCAAGAAGTGACAAACTTACTGCCATGCACATTTCACTGGACAAAGCAGGTTTATGACTTGAAGAGGTGGGAATAACAATTTCAAGTGGTTGTAAGGAAAAGAGAACTAGAAATAGCAAGCAACAGTTACGCTTACCAAATCACCTAGTATATTGAAAAGTAATATTCAATTTAGTTATCTATCTGACTGTATGTTGGCACCAGAAATGTTTGGTAATGTATCACTATTAGAACTAAGGAAGTCATGAAGTAGAGCTGGGTTGATTATATTTTTTGGAAAAAAAAAAAAAAAAAAAGGTGTTGAGCATGGTTCCAGAATTGTGCAAGAAACATCCACATAGTAGCCCCAGAGGCACAGAAGTAATAATTGGGTTCTCTAGGAAAACATGTTTTTAAAAAGGGAAGCAGAGGGAAAAGGTTGCATCTTAAAGAATACATATAGGAAGCTGGAAAAGGAATGACCAGTAAGATCAGAAGAGAACCAGAATGGTGTGTAATTTTGAAAAGCCAAAGGAGGAAAAAGATTTAGAAGAGGTAACTGTATTGAAAGTATTGACTGATGTGAAAGAAAAGAAGGGATTTGGTAATTAGGAAGGCAAAAGTTATAAAATGTGTTTTAAATAGTTTTAATGGGACAGGATGACAATCACAGTAAATTGATAAAAAAAAGTGGACAGCAAAAATAGTGCTTTAGGGTTTCTGAACGATTAATTTAAGCAGCTGGGTTGTGGAATTAAAGAGGATTGAATCTCTGATGTAGGAGTGGGTAGGGCAGAGAAGAATAATGGGGGGATAATGGAGATAATTGTAAGTGAACAACAATTAAAAAAGAAAAGAGTCAGCAGAAAAGTAGTAACCTGGCTCATAATTAAGGAGGAATCGCCCTGCCCACTTAAACCCACCCCACCCTGGCCTAAGATCTAGGGAGAACATGGGAAGTGATATATTTAAGATGTTGGATCAAGAAAAAAATAATTGCACAGGATTTCAGAAAAGTGGAAAAACCATGTTTGTCAGAGGTCCAAGAAAGTGGTTACTCTTGGAAAAGAGGAGGTAGATGCTGTGAGTTATTAGAAAGTAAGAAGAAACAGGGATAACAGGGAGGGAAGAAAATTTGAGAAGGTACCATTTAACTTTTTCGTTAGCACTGTGTAATAAAGGCATTTTAGTATGTGGGCAGAGATAGCATCTAGTATTGATAAGGAAAGACAGGTCCAATTAGGTAAATCGGTAGAAATCATACATCCATGAGTAACTGGAAAGTTGAAGATATCAAGGCGGGAGAGGGAGAATGGTGAACAAGATCCTAGCATTTAGGAGAGGGGTAGGAGAATACGTACCATTAATGTTTAAGGGACAGGTGACACTCTCTTCAAAATCTATCTATTATTTGTTAAAAATTGCACTTGAGCTTTATTTCTCTCTTTCATCATCTTAGCAACCTTGTAAAGTAAGTATCATTATTCTTATTTTACAGATGAGGTACTTTGTTTCAGAGACAGTAAACTGTAAGTGATGTATATGAGTTTGAACCAGGATGACAGGAGTTAGTAAAGGGCAGGGAATAATTTTAAGCCTAGATCTATCTTAGTTATAAATCACTATTTTCCCCTGGATACACTGGGATTGCCAGGGTCCTCTCTCCTTTTACAAGGATTTGAAAATATATTAGTAGAAAAAAATGTATACACAGGCCCCTGTATATTATGCATATATTATTTCATATAGAAAGGTACTTTCCTTTTTCAAGAATATAGAAAGAAATGCAGATATTACATATCTCTTTAAATAAAACAAAACAGGTTACAAAACAGCCAGTAGATCACCTTCTGTATCTTGCCGAAACTAAATAGCCAGCTAGCTATGTATCTAAAAATCCTGGAGAGGGCATACATCAAAATGTTAACATTGGTTATCTTTGGGTAATGAGTGTGAGATATTATTTTCTTCATATTATTCCTTTTATAGTTTTTTTTTTTACATTTTCTACAATGAACATATATTTCTTTAATAGTCATACCCCCCACACAATAAATATACTATTCCATTTCACATTTTATGTAACCAACAACAATACCATTATACCGATGAAAATGTCACTCTCATCTGAACTATTGATATAATTAGCAAATGAGTTTTTTTTCTTGTCCTTATAATTATTGCCCCAGTGTATTGTTTCTATAGTGCAACCAGAGTCTGCTGTAATCTCAGGGATAGGGATCCTTGTTGTATAAAACACAACAAAACACACAGAAAATCTGAGATCTTTGGATCTCAGCTGTGATTGGCGACAGATGAGGAGCAGCACCTTGGCTGGTAACACACTTTTGGGTGGGTGTACAGGTAAACCTCGCCTGAGGTTTCTCAGGGATCCCTCAGTTCATCTCTAAACACTCCCGTTGCCTAGCAACGAGAACCACTGCTCCCGAGCTCCACCTTCTCGTAGACTGCCCCGTTTCTCCCTCCCACCTCCCGGGCAGGAACGTGGTGTAGGGGTAACTGAGCCCCTTCAGCCACTCAGAGGCCCCTACCGTCGGCCCTCGAAAGATGATTGGAGGAGTGCATGGGCGGTGTTTGGCAGTGGCCTTCCACGCCTAGTAGTAACGTCAGCACGTTGACGCGGGGCTTTTCTCTGGTCGGCGCCGCTAACCCTTCTCGGGTCTGTGAATCAGCGCCTTCTTCGGCTGTCCCGGGCCAGAAGGGCAGTTGTTGTCCGATCTCGGGCCGGTGCTGTTATACGAGCTTTGCGCTAGTACTGAGGGCTCTCACCTCCCCCTTGTTCTCCCCTCCCGGCCTAACCGCGTTGAGGCTCTCCGGAGCGAAAGCGGCTTCGGGATTCGGCCCCGGGGCAACTAGGGGCCCATCCTCACTCCAGGCTCGGATGGGAGGCGGAGGGAGGAACGGCCTGGGATGTTGAGTCTGATGGCCAATTGCTGCAGCTGGCTCAAGCGGCGGCAGGAGCCCGTCAGGTAGGCTGGAGCCGGCTGGCCCTGTGCCTTCCTGGGAGATCGGGACAGCTGCGCCCTGAGGAGTAAGGAGGGGAGCCGCCTCTCCTCTCCTGTGCGCCGTCGATCCTGTCCCAGGCCGCGGGGGGTGCTTTCACTCCCAATTTGATTTGGCCCCAGAGGGAACGATACGAGGATGTAACCTTTTTATCTACTTTCGTTTAAGCCTTCAGCAGAGTTTATTATTGTTACAATTTAAATATGTTCAAACTTCTTAAAAAGTTGTGAATTTTGTATACGTATGTGTGGAATTGGAAACTGCCCGTTTTGTATTTTTCCTCTTAAGTTTTTGTAATGGGAATTTTGTTTTAAGTAGAGAAGCATGAGTTATCTGTAATGGGAATTTTTTTTGTTTTGTTTTAAGTAGAGAAGCATGGGTTATCGTTTCCATAACATCCCTTTCACTCACACACGTTTTGTTTGAGGACTCACTTGGGCTTGAAATCTGGCCCCACTACTTAATAATTATGGTGTATGACTAACATTTTTGGCCCCACCTTCCTCATATATTGAATGAAGGGTGATAATATCTATGCTTTAGGAGTGTTGTATTAAATGTGAGTGATGGAAAGTCTTTTCTTAACTAGTTTACTTCAATTTTCTTAAGAAACCTAGGCAATCCTTTTAATTGAAAGTCCAATTCTTAACTTTTTATTTTGAAATGCTAGATATATTAATATTTAGTGACTGCTACTAGATGTTTATTCATTCATTTCTCAACAAATATTTATTGAGAAAATAATCACATGCCAGGCACTGTATTAGGAAAGAGTCAGTGAAAATGATGTTCTTTAAAAGTGAGAAGCTGAACCCATAAAGAAAGCTTACATTTGTTACTCTTTATAAATAATATCAACTTCTTATAGTTCTATTTAGGAATTAGGCCAAGGGTAAATTGTAGTGAAGTTTGGGTTTTTTTTTAATTGTTAACATTTCAAGCAGTATTTACAGTAAGGACGAACTATCTTTTAAAGAATAAATCTGAAAAGCTATACTTGAATATTATAAGGAAAAATATGTCTACATTTGAAAAAGAATTTTCTCTAAATGAAACTTTTAAAATTATTTCCTCTTTAATAACTCAACTGGATTTGAATGTTTTAAATGTAAGTTGTATGATTGACAGTCAAAGATATGTTTGAGTGTATAAATTTGTTTTAATCATGATCTGTGATGATTACAGAATCTCAACTAAGATTTGAGGATCATTCATAATAAATGGTCCTTTAATTTTTTTCTCTTTCTGCTTTTTAAAAATGTATTTTGTTTTTGAAAGAGGGCACAATGCCATGAGTCCTTTTAACTAAAAACACCACAAAAGCTTGTACTCCAAAGGAGTTTTCAGTTTAATTCATCATTTTTTTGTGTTTGTTTCTCTTAGCAGGTATAGTGTAATCTCAGGGATAATTGTTTAAAGAAAAGACAAAGAGAAAGGAGAAGGTATTGATGTCCAAGTAGCTTCTACATCAGTGTTGTCCAGAAGAGTAGTGACTAGCTGCATGTGGCTGTTAAACGTTTGAAATGTGGCTAGTCCTAATTGAGATGCTATATGTATATACTACAAAGCGGATTTAGAAGAGTCATTATACAAAAAAGAAAATAAGTAAATATCTCATGTCTTTCTTCGTGTGATTACATGTTGAAATAATTTTTGCATATAAAGGATTAAATAAAATATAATATTAAAACAATTTCATCTTTTATTTTCATTTTCTAATTATGCGGTTACTGGAAAATTTAAACTTACATATGTAGTTTACAGTATATTTCTATTTGACCTCCCTTATTTAGATCATGGCCTAATATAGGCGGCATTGGTAGATACCTCTTGCTGTTGGATAGGGTTAACTGTCAAAGGAATTAAAAACAATTTGCATTATACCCATCTTTTAAAGTGTCCTCATTAAATGCGTAGTTTATAATAGTGGCTAAATAAATACTTGCAAAATATAGTATGTAGTTTAATTACTCCTCAGCAATAACCATCCTAATGTAAATAATGTTGGCAAGTATTTCCAGTTACTAGAATAAATGAGACGTGAGCAAACTAATTTAAAGTATATGTCAAATTTTGTGCTTTTATAATCTAATGTTTTGTATTTTTAAAGTTTTTGTTTATGTCGCTCCTTATTGAGTTTCCTCTTCATGTTTATATTTTATGAAGATATGTTTGCAAATGTGCATGTAAGAGGTATTTATTAATATCCTATGTTCTAAGGTTACTTTGCTGACTTAATCTAATATACCCTGCGCTTTTTGGGTTTACCCACCTGTCCTCACTTAGACGCTCTCCCAGTGAGCATATTATTCTAGAGACCTGGGTTAGGGATTATGTGCAGTATTCAGAATGTGTGATAAGGACAAAGTAAGAGTCAGAGATCAAGTGTTGAGGCACCAGTCTAGGTCAGCAGTCTGGGCCAGGCTGCCATGCAATTTAGGGACAACATGCATGCTATTGTTAACCACGAGTCAGAATCTGAACCTAGGCTTTCAATCTATGTAAATTCGTCTTGGCTAGACTGATAACTAGACCCATAGTTAAAGTAAGTGTTTTGATTTAATAGAAGCAGTGCAATATAGTGTGGGTTTTTTTTTAAGCTTTTTTATTTTGAGACCATAATATCGTGCTCAGAGCTAAGAAATTAACTTCGGTAAAATGCTCTTAAATAAATAATAGAGTTTATTCTGAGTTCACCAGTTTTAGCACCTAATGCCCCCCCATCCCCCACCTTTTTTTTTTCCTGTCCAAGATCTATTCCAGGATTCCACATTGCTTTGTCATGTGTCTTTGGTCTCCCTCAATCTGTAATTGTTCCTCAGTCTCTCCTTGTCTTTTATAACCTTGAGACTTTGAAGAATACTTGTCAGTTGTTTTGTAGAACACCCCTCCATGTATTTGATGCTTTGTTGTGATTTGATAAAGGTGTTGTTAGATTAATCGGGCAGAGGGATACCACAGAGGTGAGGTACCCGTCTCAGTACTTTACATCAATGAGTGTGTCATGCTGATAATGCCTTATTACTGTTGATGTTATCCTTGATCTCTTGGTATGGTGGTGTCTGCCCAATTTCTCAGTATTGTGTTTTGAGTCAAATAGATTTGCATCTGAATCCTAGAAGTTTTGGCAGGTTTTTTTGGTGTGTGTGTCAAGTTTGTATAATTTCTGTTTTGCAGCATTTTGAGAAAGAAAATTTATGCAAATACTAGATGCTTTGCACGTAGTACTTAGTAAATAACACCCATGATCCTATGTCTGAACACCTATGAACAGACAAGTGCTGATTAGTAAATTATCCTCCTCAATTCATTTTATAATTTTCATTGTAAGTGGCAAAAGGATCCATTTTCTTTTCCAAGGCTAATTCTTATGTCTTTATTTCATTTCTTCCCACTTCCTGGTGAACTTCAGTTGTTCAGCACCTGGTCAGAGACACAAAGAAAAAACTTCTGGGATGAAAGAATAAACTTTTATCCCAAAATTCATTGTTTAATTTTATTACCTAAACTAAAAAATCTTTCTTTTTTGTCCTCAGAGGTCCCTCTTATTCTTCCTTTAGTACATAAACTTGTTCAAGGCACTCTTATTGTTACAGAACAGAAAGAGTTCATCCACTTGGTGCTAGCAGAGCCAAACATTTGACACCAAGAATTGCAGTGGAGAAAGACTATTGATGATTGGTGCCATCCAGGAGAACAGAAAGCTAATGCGCAAAAGCCTGAACTTCTAGATGGCATGTAGGTTACAGATTATACGGGACAAAATCACAGGACACTGTGGGTTGGGGGTTTGGGGTTGTGCTGGGAGCTGATTGGTTGGAGGTGGGGTAACGGTAATGAATCATCTCTTCAGTCTTAAGGACAACTCTGAGGTCTTTTCTGGCATCTCTCTGGTCTCATGGGACAATAGCTAGATGGTCATTCTACCTTAGGGCTCAGGAACTGAAACACAATTTAGGTCAAGATGTTATTATTTGCCTTCCAGAGGTCCAGACCATGTGATCATTAGTCAGGTCTGGGCTACTGTCTTCTACTGCATTGGGGGTTGCTGACCATCTGGGGGAAAGACTGGGTCTCTGAGGTATATATACAGAGAGAGAAATATGATTTCTAGACTTAGGATTTAAAACTAAATTTTATCAAAGTCTTAAGGACCCTTGGTTTCATTACCTGAAAAAAAACAAACACGAAAACCTAAATGTTTTCTATTGCTGCTGTAACAAATTTGATTAACGTAGTGATTTTAAAGAACACAACTTTATTATCCTACAGTTTTAAATTCAGAAGCCTAAAATGTGTCGGCAGAGTTGCATACCTTCTGGAGGGTCTATGGGAGAATCTATTTTTCTTTGCCTTTTCCAGCAAAGAAAGAGGCTGTTTGTGTTATTTGGCCCAGGGCCCCCTTCCTGCATCTTCAATTCCAGCAACATTCCATCTCCTCTGATCTTTTGTTTCTCCCTTACAAGGCATCTTGTGATTTCCTGGATACTCTAAAATATAATCCCCTTTCAAGATCCATAGTAATGTTGGCAAAATTTCTTTTGCTACATATGGTAACATATTCTCAGGGATTAGGATGTGGACATCTTTGGGCATTATTCTGAGTCTACCATATTAAACAGCCCTCATGCCCTGCAGCCTCTACTTACTTTTCTTCCTCCTCTTCACGCAGATTTAACAGTTGGCAATAGATTATAGGTACTTTCCCAACTTACTCCCTTCTCATGCGTTCTTTCATTAGAATATTTCTGCCGAGACCCTTCAATACTGTTCTTAACTTTACCAGATGCAGCCTGGTTATTAAATCCAGTGGAATCTTTCAGTCTCTTGGCATCATTTGGCACTTAAGACAACTCTATTTTTAAATTCTCTGATATCTTTTTCTTGAATTTTTAAATCTCTACTGTTCTGCCATTTTCCTTTTCTATGTCTTTTTGCCAGTTAGCCTTTCTTCACCTGACTCCCA